TTAAGAAGCAAGGGTACCTCTTTCCAGATTGTAGCAAAAAAAAAAAAAAAAAACACTAAAGAATGACATTGCAAAACAAAATCTGTTAAGTAATGACAATGCACCTACCCTTCTAAAATTGTTTACTCAGTTCTCTGAATCATACACCTGGCAAGTGGATGCATTTGCACTAGATAAACTGCCACCAGAGAACAAGTGTGCCAGAGCCAAGCCTAAAATGGTATATTTTCCCATCTTAGTTTATTAGCATAATACATCTTTTTTGGAACCACTCACTTTAACATTATACAAATTCACTAGACAACTAGATCAATTTTTTTTTAGAGTAAACTCTAATTAGTAGGAAGCCTAGGTAACATTTATCACAAATTTTCAACTTCATCAACTCATTGTGACTTTGCTTGACATTAGAAAGCTTCCCTGGAAGTTTTCCATCTGCTTCCGGCTGGCTCAGCTGCAGCATCCCTTGGCTTTGACTGCCACGTGGTGATGAGCCTTTGCATCTCTGGACAGTTTTTCACTCTGTTTAAGTTGTTTAGAGTCCCTGTATGGTGTGAATGTTTAGCATGTTCAACTGCTAACTGAAAAGCTGGAGGTTCAAGTCTACCCCAAGTTACCTTGGAAGACAGGCCTAGTGATCTACTTCTGAAAAATTACCCATTGAAAATACTATGGAGCAGAGTTCTACTGACACACATGGGGTCACCATGAGTCAGAATTGACTTGATGGCAATTGGCTTTAAAAAAAAAAAAAAAATCTGTTCAAGCTTTAGCTTTCCTCTTACACTCCATGTTCTTGGAATCCTACTTTCTGAACTATGTTGGCTGGAATCACAGATATTGTGTGTAGAAGAATCTTTTCCCCTGGCTTTCTCTTCACTGCCTTCAAGCATACAAGAATCTACAGAAACTGGGCCCCTCCTTTTGTAGACTAGACCCCATGCCTGGTCATGCAGTTGGACACAGCTCAGCCCCATGGTGTATCTTCCACTTTGTTGTCTGTATTCTCGAGGCTAACTTTAGCTGATCTCATTTTCAGCTGTTTCAAGTTTGCCAAAGGCCATCTCCTCAGGTGGTTTCAGGAGCACACTCTCAAAGAATGAGGCCTCCAAACAAACATTTGAGATTAAAAAACTCATACCACATTGTAAACGGTATGGCATTTTCTTTAAAAACTGAAAATAGAAATACCATTTGATCCAGCACTTCCATTACAAGGAATATATCCTAAAGAAGTGAGAGACAGGACAAGAACAGACATATGTACACCCATGTTCATTGCAGCACAATTCACAATTCAGCAGAGAGATGGAAACAATTTAAATGCTCATCAACAGATGGATGGATAACCAAATTATAGTACATTCACACAATGGAATACTATGCTATATCAAAGAATAAGGGAAAATACGTGAATCGTCTCACAACGTGAATGGATTTGGAAGACATTATGCTGAGCGAAATAAGTCAATCACAGAAGGACAAATACTGTATGAGCTCATTGTTGTAAAAAGTCAAGGAAAGGTTTACTTAGGGAAGGAAATTCACATTGTTGGTTTCCAGGGATGGGAGGGAAGGAGAAGGAAAATTTCAGACTAGTTAGGGGGCACATGTTGATTTGGGTGAGGGGAGGGATGGTATGGAAAGAGTCTGTGATAAATATGGTGACATTGGGGAAAGGCAGGACACTATAACGTGCACATAGGATATAGATAACAGAGTCAAATAACAGTATATGCACAATACTGCATTGCCACTAACACCAAACACCAGGCTACAGATAAATGCACAGACAAATGGGAGGATCAGATAGGGGTCAGTGAACAGGAGGATAGATTTAGCTGAAGATGGTCTTACATATTCACTTGTGCTACAAAATTAGCCACACACAATACAGAAGCAACAGAAGACAGAGTTGTAATAACCACTCAGAGATAACCAAACACCTTGAGAGAGAGAATCACTAGTCCTGAGGACTCAGGATCATAGTATCAGGGAACACCAAGCTCAGTTGACACAACGTAGTACATAAAAATCTTGCTCCACAAACTACTTTGGTGAGTAGTGCTTGGGGTCTTAAAAGCTTTCAAGCAGCCATCTAAGATGCAACTATTGGTCTCCTCTCATCTGAAGCAAAGGAAAGTGAAGAAAATCAAAGGCATCTGGAAACAATGAGTCCAAGGATATGATGGACCATGAGACCAGAAAAACTAGATGGTGCCTGGCTACCAATACCAACCACATGGGAAGGGATCAAAACTGGAGATCCTGGATAGAGTGGAAGGAAAGTGTGGAACGAAATTCAAAAACACAAAAATGACAAGAACTACTAGCCAGATGGAGTTTGATGGAACCCCCAAGACTATGGCCTGGGTTACCCTTTGGGTCTAGAATTGAACTTGCTCCCAAGGATTGGCTCTCAGCCCAATAACAGAAAGACCTACATGCAGAACACTTAACCTAGGGCAATGCTCCCACCTACTCTAGGGAGATACACCCCTTAGAACAAGCACCAGAGGGGCAGCATTCATGTAGAGGGAAAGCTGGACAGATGGTAGTTAAGAAGGACACAGGGAGGGGGTAGCCACAGGGAAGTGAGGGGAGAAGAGTTTATTATGGTCAGGGATGGTAATTGGGGCATGAAATCAAATGTACATGAACTGTTGAATGTAATACAAATTTTGCTCTGTAAATTTGCACCCAATGTACAATAAAATTAAAATAAATAAATTTGTACCATTTTTTATATGTAAATCAGATCCTAAATTAAATGTTATCATGCTGATTTGGGTATTGTAGCATCACATTTCTTCAACTTCTCCAACATTCCTATACAGCATGGCTCCAGTAAACCATCTACACAAAAGTATATTGTTAGCATCCTCCCCTTATTGGAACTGATTATGACATATTCTATAAGGGTCCAGATTTCTCCATAAGCTGCCTGGAAAAGAACAAGAATTTATCACAAATACATCAGGGCTGTGTTTATATAAGGAGAAGGAACTCTGATGCTCATTTATGTGGGAGAGGGACATCTCAATGATCCACATTGACAGTCTTTTTCCCAAATGTTTTTCTCATTATCAACTGAAATATATAATAGTAGATTATACAACATAGCCAACCAAGTGACTTCAGGGATTCAGCAGTGAGTTACAACTTAGTCTAGACCATATTTAGTCTAGTCCAAACTTAGTCTAGACCATACTCAAGGGTCCTATCCAGCAGGAAACAGCCCAGCCCTCGAAGTCATGACCTATGGATGCTATTCCACAGAAACCATCCAATACAGGGTAAAGGCCAGTGTGCTTGGGACTGGGCAGAATTCCTACTCTGTGTAAACTCTTTCCCCAAGCATCACTAAGGTCTACAGGGAATGGAGAGTATATTCAGAAAAGCAACAACCACAAAGGCAGCTGCAAGCTACCACCAAAGTAGATTCGAGAAGAGGGACACACTCATAGGACAGAGGGACCACACATACACCACTCAGGGAAATAGCAGAATCCTACGGAGGATGAATGATAATTTATTCTCTTTTCAATCTGTCAGCTTCACACAGCTGCAAAACGCAACAAGAATATTCAGCTATTCCACCTAAGATTCAAAAACAATATCAGAGCTGGAACCAAATACCAGGTTACTGGCTAGAGAGCCACCAACTCAAATTTGCTTAGCCCCTCAGATACCCTGCAAAAAGTCACTGTTACTGTCATAAATCGAAAACTTTGCAACAGCCAAAGTGACTAGAATCACAACCCTGTGATAACTAAAGATATAGTATATGCAGGAGACACTAAAGGCCAGAGGATTCCTGCTGGGCCAGGTAAGTGTCTTGGGTCCAGGATTCCTGGTGATAAGAGTGTTTAAGCACTCAGCTGCTAACTGAAAGGTTGGCAGTTCAAATGAACTAGCCACTCACTTCTGCTTTTGTGAAGATCTACAGCCTTGGAAATTCTGTGGGACAGTTCAACTCTGTCCTATACAGTCATTGTGAGTCAGAATACACTAGATGGCGATAGGTTTGTTTGCTTTTTAATTTTTGGTTCAGAGTCTTGAGAATCCTTCAAACAGGCAGCTCAGAGTGTAGCCAAGGCTCCAAATGCTCACTCATGCAGAAAAGGAGTTATGTGGAGGATAGACATTATAGTTCTAAAATTATATTCTCCATTCCTCAGTTGTTGTTGTTGTTAGGTGCTGTCAAGTTGATTCTGACAGAGACCCAATGTACAAGAGAATGAAACACTGCCCAGTCCTGCACCACCCTCCAATCCATGCTACACTTGAGCCCATCGTCACAGCCAATCTATCTCATTGAGGGTCTTCCCCTTTTTCTCTGACTCCCCATTTTACCAAGCATGATCTCCTTCTCCAAGGAATGGTCCCATTGGACAATATGACCAAAGCAGGTGAGATGGCATCTGTCCATTCTCACTTCTAAGGTGCATTCCAGCTGCACTTCTTCCAGGGCATCAATTCTTCTTTGGTCTTCTTTATTCATTGCAAAGCTTTCACATGCATATGAGAGGATTGGAAATACCATGCTTGGGTTAGGAGCACATTAGTCTTCAAAGTGACATCTTTGCTCTTTGTAGTAGTTCTGTTTGTGTCAACTTAGCTGGGCCTGGTAGAGTGGCTGGGCAGCTGGTGATAGTTATTCCCCATGATGAGACTGGCAATCAACTCCATGGTGGGATCAACCACAAGCAGCTGAGTAGCTGTTTGGGGTATGTGGTCTGCTTCCTGTATATAAGGAGAAGCTCTGGGAATGGTCTCTAGCATATGGCAAGCTTGGACCCTGCGTGCAGTCATGTCTTTGTTCAGCAGCCTCCCATGCTCTGCTGACCTTGGGACTTACAACGAACTTGAATTAATGGCCTGTCATGTGGTTTGGTAACATCGAGACTGTGCCTTTTTACTTGTCACCCTTGGGCTTCTCAGCCTCAGCAGCCAGCAGCTGTCTGAGTGAAGAAACACCCCTAGCTCCAGTGGGCCGGGGGCAGGAGGCAGAGCTGGACCCCAAGGTTGAGGGGCTTTCACCCAGTTCCTAGAGCCTGGCACTTTGAACTTGGACTTAAAGCCTCAAACTGTAAGAGAATAAACTCCTGTTTGTTAAGGCCATCCCATTTGTGGTATATTTCTTATCAGAGCGGCACTAGGTAACCAGAACACTCTTCAACATTTGAAGAGGTCTTTTATAGCAAATTTGCCCAGTGCAATACAATATCTCATTTCTTGACTATTGCTTCCATTGCTGTTGAATGCAGAGCCAAGTAAAATGAAATCTTTGACAACTTCAATCTTTTCTCCATTTATTATGATGTTACTTATTGATACATTCCTCAGTGACAGTCTCTATTCTTTCTTATTTACCAGTATGAATAAGAATTTATCCAATGCCTAATACCAAACCAAAAATAACCAAACTCACTGCCGTCTAGTCTATTCGACTCACAGCGACCCCTCCTTGGGTTTCCAAGGCGGTAACTTTACCACAGTAGATTGCCCAATCTTCCTTCTGAGGAGTCGTTGGTTTGTTAATGAGGATGGTAGACTATATCTGAATGCTTACAGCCTTCCTATGAGGGGTGTTACTATCATTAGAAAGCCTTGCAGCCCTGAGGTCACTAAAGATGACTAGTGTCTCATAAGACTCATAAGAATAAAATGCAAAAATCTCAAATATGTAGTCTGTGTTTCTTAAATAATGTTGATCAACTGACAGGGGAAAGAAAAAAAGAACCTGTCATTACACTTTTCAAAATCTTTTGTTTTCTGAGATAGTATTTTTAAAATAAAAGTATGTTCATCTCTATAAGTTACTAATATGTTGCATATGGAGTCCCTAAGTGGTGCAAATGATTAAACACTCAGTTACTAACTGAAAGGTCCACAGTTCAAATCCACCCAGAGGCACCTCAGAAGGAAGGCCTGGCTTCTGTAAGGTCACAGCTGTTGAAAACCCTATGGAGCACAATTCTACTCTGACATGCATGGAGTTTCCATGAGTCAAAATCAACTCTACAGCAACTGATTTCATTTTAAAAATATGTAGTGTAAATGAATTAATATTTTTTTAAAAAATTAGGATATTCACATCATACTATACAAAGCAATGTTTGAGGGGAGAGGAGTAGTGATTTCAAACATTCTTTGTATCTGCATTGCTCCAAGATTATCATCCTCTTGAAAATCAGTATCCTGACTGACAAGAATACAAAGCATTGAATTTTGCCACAGAGACATAAAGAGAATAGACAGAAACAGGGGCATGGAGAGAAAGAAAGAGTCATTGAGAAAAGACATAGAGCATCTATACTGAGCAAAAACCCATTTAGGTTCTCTTCAGAACACAAAGGACTCAGATAATGATCCTTTGACTAATCAACTATTGGTAAGAGAAACAGCTCAACAGCTTCTGACAAGGTGACCCCTTGGTCTGTAAAGGTATCTTCTATGCCACAGTCTCTGGAAGTCACAAATGTGGTGAAGCTAAGAAACTTGGAGTCTACACTCTACTAACCAAGAAATACTTGTCTTGGACCAAAAGTAATCTTGCCTCATTGCATGCAAGTCAAGAGGACAAGTGATTACCTTGGATCTGCTAGATGCTTGCTTTTTTTCCAGAATATGCTCTATAGGCCAACTCGATCTTCAGATGTAGTTGGTTGTAGTTAAAGCAGGGCACAGCTGGCCTCTATCTCTGCCCCCTTAGGACTGATTTTGTTAAGGAATCAAACCATGTTTTGATCACTGATCACTTTTATATCTCTACTATGCTGGTTTCATTCTGGATAAAATTAGGAAAATTATTTGTTTTGTCTTTTTGGAAATAAGGCATGGCAAATATGATCCCCCTACTCCATCTACTCTCCCCAAAGAGTAAAAAGATAACTAAACAAGAAATAATGATATCACCTTCACTTAGGTGTATATTGTGATTTCTGCTGGGTCATCCTAAGTTGTCTTTTATAAGAAACAGTAAATTCTAACAACCCAACTCAAATTATAAAAGAATCACCAAGGTTTATAGAACTATTTAGGATAGGATTTATTATTTATTTATGCCACGTTTTGTTTCAGAAAGGATTTTAAACAGTGTACACAAATACATGCAATAGAACCAAATTTAAAATTTAAAAAGTAAGTTAGTGAAGAAATCAAGGCAAAGGGGAAATAAGAGTAGGAAAACGATGAAGACCAAACTCCTTTAAGTTTCTTCCTATACATTTGCTGGAAGGAGCAGCATTTGGCTTTGTGCTTTCCATTAGCCAATACAAAAGATCAACACAATCAGTTATGTGAATTACAGTGTACAGGAAATAAAAATAAACTATTTGTTTTGCCCAGAAGAAGAACCACTGGTGCCGGAACTGGAACTGAAACTAGAGAGAAATTTTCCCATTGTTTTCTTAAGAAGGACACTGTTCCATGGTTCCCATACCCTAGCAAAGGCATCAGGATCACCTGAGAAGATTGTTTTTTAATATAGGATTCCCTAGGACCTTGCCCAAATATTCAGATTGAATAGGTTTGAGGTAAGCCTGGAAATCTGCATCATTTGAAAGAAAGTCAGTTGATTCTGATAAATGGGCAAATCTAGTCACAGATAATGAATAACTGTAATAACATCTTAAAATAAAGACAACAATGAGGATCATACAACATCGTGAACTGATGGCTTATGACCAAAGTGCAATTCAGTAAGTGTTAGCATCTCTGTTCTCTTAGACTGGGATAGTCCAATGATTAAAAAAACCCGCTGCCTTCAAGTCGGATCCGACTCATAGCGACCCCTCCTTGGGTTTGCAAGGCAGTATCACTACGGAAGTAGATTGCCTGACCTTCCTTCCGAGGAGTGGCTGGTGGGTTTGAATCGCCAGCCTTCTGCTTAGCAGCCAAATGCCTTAGGCACTACGCTATAAGAGCTCCTAGTCCAATGATTAGGATAGTAATAATTTCTAGTTGAGGATGGTGGTAGAGGATGGGGAAAGACCTTCTGGCTTTTTGTCCTTCAATAGTCAAAGCCAAAGGATACCCTCAGCCTCTATATTTAATTGGGGTATCAGGGGATAGTGTTCATTTCTAGATAGCACATCAAGTTTCCTTACATCCATATGGAAAGGGATGTTTTTGTTTATTTTGTTTGGTTGGTTGGTTGATTTTTATCATAGTTCTTAGAAACCAATAACAAGTACAAACACTGAACTATGAATATTTAGCCAAAAGGAAGCACTGGATAAAAAGTAACCTAATTATCAAAATGCTCTGAGAAGATGTGAGTAAGAATAATTTTATTTAAATATCATTTTGATTCATTAAAAATATATTGATTATGTCCCAAAGTTTCAGAATATTTTACAAGAAAAGAAAGGAGGAAAATTGTAGAGATTCTGAACCAACTATTTAAAAAATAATTCTGTATCTATTTCCTCCAAATTTCAAATCCATGGAACGTATCCTTGTAAGTCTCTTTAACAGTAAGGACTGTTGAGATTGTCCTGATTCCTGTTGGTGAATATCCTGAAAAGTTGTCACTAAAACCAAAGAGTTATGTTTTTATTTCAGAGTCTGCTGTTAACATCCAATAGTCAAACCAGATCAAATTGCCACACAGGAAGCTTCTTTCAACAACTGTGGCAGACCTGGAGACTCTGAAATTGGAAGACAAACAATTTATTTTGACAAGCAGCTGATGGAACCATAATTGAAATGCATCCCTTATCTTTTCAGGGAAATAGTTTGTGGTTAAACATACCAATAGCTCCCCAAACCAAAAAACCAAACTCACTGTCGTGAGTCTGATCCAACTCATAATGACCCCTCTGCGGGTTTCTGAGGCAGTATCACTACGGAAGTAGATTGCCCAACCTTCCTTCCGAGGAGAGGCTGGTGGGTTTGAACCACCAGCCTTCTGATTAGCAGTCAAATGCCTTAGGCACTATGCCACCAGAGCTCCTAATAGCTCTCCAGCAGAGCCTAAAAGAAGATAATATTTTAATTTGGGAAGTTCTGTTTTTGAGAGTTTATTTGATTCTGTCTGTGGCTTCAAAGGGAAGTTAAGAGGCAAATAGAAGCAAACAGCCAGATTTTAAAACTGCTTAAAAGTTTTAAGGGCAAAGATTTTAAGGAATTTTGCTGAGTTCCTGGGTAGTGCAAACAATGAATGCACTTGTCTGCTATATGAAAGGCTGGAGGTTCAAGTCCACCCAGAAGGGCCTCAGAAGAAAGGCCTGGTAATGTGTTTCTAAAAAATGAACCATTGAAAATCCTATGGAGCCCAGCCCTACTCCGACAAACAAGGTCACATGAGTCAGATTTAATCAACTGCGACTTGCAGTGAGGTGGTGTCTTTCTGAGTCTTCCCACTTTCTCCCTTCTTTGTGATTGTGGAAAGAGCACATTTGCTTCCCCCACAGGTGTACAAGAAGACTTTGTACTTTTAAGTCCACCCTATTTTAATAGGAAATGACAACACTAAGAACAATTAGGTCCAAATACAACACATGAAATAAATGAATATTAATCCAGGTAAGTAACTAAACCAGTCTAGAAGCAGGTACCAAAATTAGTCCTTTTGACTCATAGCGTTTGCATGTAATAAATCCCCATTCACCCTCAGAAAAGGGGACCTTCAACAAGATGGATTGACACAGGAGCTGTGACAATGGGCTCAAGCATGGCAATGATAGCGAGGATGGTGCGAGACCAGGCAGTGTGTAGGGTCACTATGAGTCAGAACTCACTCAATGGCACCTAACAACAACACCCTCAAAGGATCTGAAGAGTAGTGCTTACGAGTTTGATTGTGTCAGAAACATATGTAATTACTTCCTCTTTAACTCACCTCTCTGTTTGGAGACACAAAATGGATGTGGAAGGAGGAGACACGTGCTCAATCTGCCTGATCACAATGTCTCCAGTACCCTCAAAAAGCTTACAGTTTCACAAGATTACCTAGACACACCGGATAACTTACTCAGAGAGCATCTTATGAGTTATTTGAGAACCAAATGTATACTGATTGAACAGTCAGATTTATTGTGTTTTGAATGAGTCAGATCTACTTTTAAGCTTTCACACATTGACTTCCTGTTTGCAAAAGTTGACTTCTTCAGTCTTCTTGCTGAGTTATCTCAGTCAACTCTAAATTGACATGCTCTCCTTGTAGCATAGTGCCTAAGGCACTTGACTGCTAACCAGAAGGCTGACGGTTCAAACCCACGAGCCACTCCTCGGAAGGAAGGTTGGGCAATCTACTTCCGTAATGATACTGCCTCAGAAACCCAAGTAGGGGTCGCTATGAGTTGGGGCTGACTCAATGGCACATAACAACAACAACAACAACCTTATCACTTCTTAGGCTCTACCACGAAAAGATCACATTATTTTCTGGTTTGAACCATAAGTGTCTACATAATAGCTGACTAAAGTCAGGAAGCAGGAAAAGGAGAGGAACACCAGGGATGACAAAAGCCACAGGATCCAGGCAGGATCCAGGTAAGGGGAGGGTGGAGAGTTTTCGAACAGCTAAGGCAGATGAACTCGTCTGTCGGTTTGTCTTACTGTGGTGCCTTGTGCATTGTTTTGAGGCTTGAGGCTGTGCCACCAGTTTCAAACACCAGCAGGGTTTCACATGGTGCACAGTTTTCAACGCAGCTTACAGACTGAGACAGACTAGGAAGAAGGAAGAGCCCATCCGCTTCTCAAAGAATTGACCAGAAAAACCTTATGAATAGCAGAGAAACACTGTCTGATACATTACTGGGCAACATTATGAATAGCCCAGAAACACTGTCTCACAGGGTGCAGGAAGAGAAGCTCCTTAGGTTGGAAGGCACTCAAAATATGACTGGGAAAAAGCTACCTCATCAAAGTACAACCAACCTTAATGATATGGATAAAGTAAAGCTTTCTGGACCTCCATTGGCTGATGTGACATGACTCAAATTGAGTAGAAACGGTTGGAAACATCCACTAATAATAGGAACATGAAATGTATGAAGTACGAATGTAGGAAAATTGGAAGATGTCAAAAATGAAATGGAACACATAAAGACTGATATGCTAGGCATTAGTGGGCTGAAAAGGACTGGTTTTGGCCATTTTGAATCAGACAATCATATGATCTATTATGCCAGGAATGACAATTGAAGAGGAATGGTGTGGCATTCATCATTGCAAAGAGTGATTCAAGGTCTGTCCTGGAGTACAGTGCTGTCAGTGATAGGATAATATCATATGCCTACAAGGAAGACCAGTTAATACAACTATTATTCAAATTTACACACCAACCACCAAAGCCAAATGGTGAGGAAAATGAAGATTTTTATCAACTTCTGCGGTCTGAAATTGACTGAACATGCAATCAAGATGTGTTGATTATCACTGGTGACTGCAATGCAAAAGTTGGAAACGAAGAATCACCGGTTATTGGAAAATTTGGCCTTGGGGACAGAAAGAACACTGGAGATTGCATGATAGAATTTTGCAAGACCAACAACTTATTGCAAATATCTTTTTTCAACAACACAAATGATGGCTATACACATGGACTTTGCCAGATGGAGTACACAGGAATCATGTTGAC